TTAATTGATTTGGAATGAAGCATTAAAAGTTTCACACACCCTCTCTTCCAAATTCTGATTTAAGAAAATCTAAGAGAAAGAGAAAAGCTTATAAGGGTTGGAATGTGTTCTAAAAAATACAACTTGAGGATTAAAGAATGAATCTGTCTTCTTAAGGAAAACTTGGATGATGCCTACCACTGATCAAAAAGTCACAAGACCTAGGAAGAGGCATCATACTCAAACATGTTAAGAAATCCTTTTCTGGAGTTAGATTTTTTCATTGTAGTATGCTAGGACACACTTTCACACACTTGCACTTCGTTCCACCGTTTATACACATTAGGTGTGGAAACTAAGGTGCATTGATCCACGAACAACCAATGCATTGCTTTCTACTTTCATAAGGAAGGGACCCAAACTATTTGGCGTTGTCCTATTATCTAAATTTGATATTGCAGGAGGACTCTCAACAAAAAGGCCTCATAAGGAGTATGTGGTTACCTGGACAGTGGATCTTCTCGAAATGCTATGATTGGTGACTGCAAATAAGTTATTGTACTAGAGTCCAGACTGGAGCAAGGTTACTCTTTGGAAGACACACCACCAAGGAAGGTGGTTAGGCGCCAGTTAGTTAGTAATTCTAAGACCTATGATTGAAAATATTTTTTGTTTTGTAGATGGATTGAAAGCACAACATTGCTCAGCTCAGTCAAACTCTATGACAAGGCAATTCATCTTGCAATTCTTTGCAAATTCATGCATGTAAGGTTAAGATAAAAACACTATTTTTACAGGAAAGAGGATCAAACAAACGTTCTACACTGCTTGACTATAAATAACATTGAATGTGTTGCTTCATTGCTTAAGAAACAGTGATTGAATGATTCATTAGGTTGTGGCAACCAGAGACTTTGTCATAACAAGCATTAAAAAACCTTTAGAAATAGGTGACCCCAAAAAAGGACCTAGTTAGAGATGTCCCCAAACTCAAGTGTCAAAAGGACCACCTTTGTGATGCCTGTCAACTAGGAAGCAAAGTCCACTCCATTTTTCAAACCCCATTTAAGGACCATTTAGCACCTCTAGAGACCTTTTACAAGTCCTTTCATATGGATTTTTTTGGAGCCATTTCAGCACTGCCCAGCTTGGGCGAGGGAAAGTTTTATGGTTTGCTTGATTGTTGAATGACTAACTCGAGGTTCACTGGGACTAGTATTTCTTTCAAATAAAAAAATGAGTCTTTGGAGGAGTTTTAAACATTTCTACTTGATTCAGAAATTGCTAGGTTGTTGAGATTCTTGACCATCCATAGTGATTATGGGGAGTTGGAGAATGAAAAAATTTGATGATTTTTGTTGAGGACAAGGGGTATTAAGGCTACAACTTCTCAGCTCCTAGCGACCCCTCAGCAGAACGGGGGTAGCTGAAAAGAAAAGAATCAAGACTTGGTGGAAGCCGCTAAGCCATGCTTTGCTTGATTATTCACTTCCAAAGATACTTTTGGGCTTGAAGCGGTTTTTAACAACAGTTGTATATTGTGTTGAATAGGGTGAATGTTTAGAGCCAATTAGAAAAAGACACCCTATGCGGATATCTTAAGGGGACTTGACACCCAATCTTTTCCCACCTTTCATATCTTTGGTAATGTAAGGCTTTTATCACAATAAATGGAAAGTTCTCACTTGGGAAATTTTGATCCTAAACTGATGAAGGAGTATTCTTGATATTCTATAATTGGGTAGTCTTTTTAGGGTGTTTAATTAAGAGAACTTTAGATGGTGGAAGAGACAAAACCCAGTAGTATTTGATTCAGTCTGATCCTAAGAACATGGGATTTGAGCGGATGAATGATGATATTGGAGAGATTACATAGATGGAGTAGAAATTTGCGGGCTAAAGGGAGTAAGAACACCAAAATAATCGAAGGAGTAGGAAGAAGTCACCCTAGGAGTAGAGAACAATTGTTTTGAAGTGAAAGGGTTGGACCTCCACACTTTGGCCTAGAGATTGAGATTTACTCTGCAAGTCACCCCCCAAGAGGATTTAGATCTTAGGAGACCCGTTCTAATGGAGTTAAGACAGACATGGACTTAGGAAGGGGTTTGAACCACTGCCTTTTATCTCAATGACTGAACCCTACCAACATTAAACCAAGCCCTTACTGATGAGTTTTGGGAGTTTTAGCAAGTAAGAAGAATGTGAATCAATTTGTAGGAATTGATGTTGGGAGAGCTGTAGGAAAGACCTAAGGGACAAAGTTGTGTCAGTTGGGATAAAGTGGGGCTTTTAAGCATATTAAGTGAATGATTTCAGGACGATCGTGGGTAGGAACAATCAGGACAAGATGGTAAGCTAAGGAGTATACCAAATAAGAAGGGATAGACTTAAGAAGACCTATTATCCCTGTAGCATAGATTGGAAAGCCATTACGAGTGCATTAGCCTTTCCTAGTTTATATAAAGGATTTAAGCTTTATCAAAATGATGTCAGTGGAGTGCCTTTTTGAATGGGAAAATAAAGAGAAGTGTTTGTAGACAACCCCAAGGTTTGAGGGTTTTCACAATTCCAATTTTTGTTTTTAAAAAATTAAAAAAGGCTTTGTATGGGTTTAAAAAAGGCACCAAAGAGCATGGTATGAGAGGCTTAGACATTTTTTACACTTCAGGACGAGAGTTTGTCAGGGGAGCGTTAGACACCACCCTTTTTCTTAGGACGAGTGGGAGATGATTTACTCATTATTATTTTATAGTGGATGATTGACTCTTATAGATCTTTTTAATAAGAATTTGTGTGTGATGAGTTTTTCTAAAATAAGAAGTAGAGAGTTTGAGATGAGTTCTTTGATGGGAGTTATCCTTACTTTTTGGGGTTTTACATAAAACAATGGAGGATTTGGAACATTTTAAAGCAAAACAAAATACATAGGATTTGAAGAAGTATGAGAATGGACAAAGGCTAAGCCATTAACACTCCCCATACTTCTGTGCTCCATGGATAAAGGACCAAGTGGGTAAAGTCTGTTGGATCAGAAAGAAGTTATAGGAGGTAATGATTGGATTATTTACTTTACTTGACTGCGAGCCGAACCTGATATTTTATGTTTAGTGTTTTGCCTTTTGTTTTGCTAGAATGTTCAAGCTGACCCTAAGGGTGTCCCACCTAACTGCAGTTAAAGAGAACTTTTTAGATATCTTTTGGGGGAACCCAAGGCTCTTCAGGGATTAGATACCCTAGACACAAACTTCTTTTGAGCATTATTGGATTTTCTGCTCTGATTTTGTAACCAGGATAGCAAAGGTGGATAGAAAAAGTACTTCAGGAACTTGTCAATTCATAGGACAGTCTCTTGGTCTCCTATGGTCTAGTAGGAACGCAACTCTGTTGCACTCTCCACACTGATTGAAGCTGAGCTAATTGCTCTTGACAAGTGTGTGTGGCCCAAAGTCCTTTTGAGTTAAAACAAACAGGTATTTTTGGATTAGGACATTACCTATAGGCACACATCTAAATATTTTTGTGACAAACCACTAAGTGCCATATGCATCTCAAGAATCATACATTCAAATATTCAAGGACTAAGCATAATTGACATTAGGCTCACTTCAGTAAATTCAAATTGTGACTAAGGGAGACCATTTGAAGTTACCATATGGACAACTGAAAATTCCCAACTGGCTGAAATCCGTTTTACTAAACCCACTCGGCCTTTCGACCCTTCATTTTCTTTATGGACCAAAATTGGGTGTGATTGAATAAATGCAACAAACTTGATCTTTAATTTGCTTTCTTTTGCTTATTGTTTCTTTTTCTTTTTAACTGTTTTTCTTTCTCTTGTTTCTTTGTTTTTTCTTTTTCCTTTTGATTTTTTTTTGGGTGTGTTTATTTATCTATTTGTGTGCTTTTAAAGTTAGTTTTCAAAATCATCACTTGAAATGATTATATATGCCTTGTCATTGCTTTTGGAAAATTTGTAGTCATGTTTTTACCAATCTTTAATCTCTTGGTTATTTCTAAAAAATATTTTGATTGTGTATGTTTCTCTAAACCTATTTACATGGCATAGTGTATTTTCTAATAAAAATCTATTTCAATTAAAGAATGTGTATGGAATAAGAATCTTTTCCTAAAGCTGCTGAAGCAAAATCTATCTTGTATTTATAATGTTTAAAGGTTTTTGTCACATCAAGATCCCTTGTTACTCTTGTCTTGATTATTGATTCTGTTTGTGATAATTCTTCCTTATGTTAGAGAGAGCTTTCTATTTCTTAATATCTAGAAGATATACTCACAACTAAGCACTTTTTAAGAGTTGTAAAAGAGAATAAAGCTTTGCAAAAATAAAAAAATATTGGCAATGATGCCAACAAAAGATGCGCAATGACGCCCAAATTGAAAATATATAATCAAAAAAAGCAAAAGATGTGCACAAGCAACAATCAATTGACAAAGAGACATAAAATGAGCCCACTAAAAAAGCAATCTCTTCTCCTCTTTCAAAATTCATTTAAAAAAACTTAAGAAGTTTTCAGTATTAAACGGCCTTGATTTCGATTGTTTTGAGATTGTGACAAATGATACTTTGATCATTATTCTATCAAGGATATTTTTTCTTAAACAAGTACATGAATTGGATTTCTTGTTCCTACGAGTGGATTCGACCTAAATTTTTTTGATTTGGGATCAAATCAAGTTATTGGATCGTGCCTTTTATTTTAGAGAAATTATTCTGTGTGAATATCAGACACAAATGTCGTTTGAAGAGCAATCAGAATGTGCACGGCAATAGTATCGAGCCTTGATATCGAGCGGTACCGAGCAGTACCAAGCAGTGGTACTGAGCAAGCGATGATGTTGCACATTTTGATTGGCCACTAGACCAGCCCCACAAAATAATTAATTTGAAAAGTTAGATAGAAGAGTAAATTTTGAATTAGAAGGGACTTGTATGCAAAAACACTCGAGAATATTTTCTGTGGCTGTCGCTGTGCAATAGCAAAAGCGGTACCATAAGAAGTCTTCCAGTTCATCACTAGCTCTGATCGCCTTACCCTCGCTGCTCTCTACTATCCCCTCTCTCTCTCTCTCTCTCTCCCTCTCCTCTTCTCTCTCCCTCTATCTCCCTCTCCTCTTCTCTTTGTTGCATAACGAAGGGGATGCGCTCGAATCAACCTTTCTCTCTCGTCAACGAAGATCTCGCCACGTCGCCGCCGAAGCCAATGGGCTTAAATCCACCTCTCTCACCCATCAAAGACGACGCCTCCTTATCGCCGGTCCCAGCGCCGTTCTCTGACTGCCTTCCTCCTACGCGAACGGGTTCTCGAACCCCCTTCTCCGGCTCAAACTCTTCCCTTTCCACCTCCCCTTCCTCCTTCCTTGCCTCCCCCATCGATTCCCCCTTCCACCTTCTCCACTCGTCCTCCGCCGTCCCATTCTCCTGGGAACGCCAGCCTGGGATCCCTAAACTTCCCGCGGCTGCAGCAGCAGCCGGAGGCCGCTACGACGAAGATCTGCTTCTTCTGCCCCTTCCGCCGCCGCTCAGACCCGCCGTTGGCTTCTCCCGTAACAAGCGTTCTGGGGCCGGCGGCTTCGACCCCTTCGCCGTTGCCCTAGCGCAGTGCGCCAAGGAGTCCTCGCCGGAAACCGGCGAAGATATTGAGTGTTTGTGGAGGCGATCAGGACTAAAGAGAGTGGGAATATGGAGACGTGCGACGATTGCCGACCGGATTGGTCTGATCAGCTTCTATGGTTCGTGCAAGGCGACGTGCTCGGTCTCGGTCTCGGATGCGACCATCGTGCTGCCTCGCGCGGCCGGGAGGGGTGCCGGTTTGTACGGGCAGATGAACCGGCGGCGTGTATGAAATAGACCGGTAGTAGATAATTATGTACTAATACTTTTATTTTTTAAAAAAGTAGCTTTTATTTGTGTATTTTTTAACTTTTTATGTATTTTATTTTTAAAAATAAATTAAATGATTTTTGAAGATATTCAGTAAGATACGATTTTCTAAGACAACTCACTTCATATTCATAAGCACGAGGTATAGGAAAAATAGTCAATTTTTTTTTTTTTATTTAAATGCATAATTGATGGCCACCTTGCTTAATAGAAAAGATCCTTAACTTCTTAGGATTGATGAAAAGAAAAAATTTAAATTTGTGAAGATAAAAAGGGCCATTAGAGAATCTAGAAGCATTAATAATAATATAAATAATATTGCAACAATAGTGAGAAGTCCCAATACTTTGCCTAACATGCGATATATATATCTACTTTTTTTAGCTCTGATATCAAATAATGTAGATAGAAGATAGGCTACCAATGATAATATCACAATCTATTATATTAACATTATATTCTACTTTGTTCGAGATGCTGCAATGAACTCTGATATATCTACCTTAATCAAATCATGTTCGAATCCTGGTTAAACCTTAATATAAAACTCGATCTGTTATGTTAGCTATGTTATGACTGCTGTGGTTGTACTCCATGTTGTATGAACCTAAGATATGATTTATAATTGAATCATAGTTGAACAAGCAACTATATGTTGTATGAACTATCAACAAATATATTCTATATACTTCGACTTCAAAAAGCAAAGGTAGTTATCTTATTAGATGTTATTTTTAGTTCGGAGAGAACTTTAAGACATTTTTAACAAGAAACAATGAAAAGACATATCTCTCTAATTTTTGTTAGTATGGAGCATAAAGACATATTTCTCTTATTATTAAAATTGCTTTATAAAAATATAATTAAATGAAGTATATTTTTACCAAATATGTAATTGAGTTAAAAAAAAAAAGAGAGACATGCATCGATAGATGCATGGGCGGAACTACTGCAAGCTTAGGGGGGGCAATTGCCCCCCCTAAGCTTGCAGTAGTTCCGCCCATGCATCTATCGATGCATGAGGTACGAAAGGGTAAAATCATAGTAAATAATAATAATAACAATTAAGCAAAAATTGACTCAAATACACCTCTATGATATTCATATACAGAAAAAAAAATATCTTAAATATATAAAAAAGGATCAAAATTGTTCGAAATTATTAAAAAATGTAAAAATTTAAACTCCGTTTGAGATAGTTTTCAGTTTTCTTACTGATCTAGCTTATAAACAGATTTAACTTTCTCCAGTACATTCTTGAATAGAGATAAATTGTAATTTAACAATTTATGCTGCTTTTTGTACTTCCTACCATTTATATGTTAGCTCTGTTAGCTGTAATCTATGAATGTGTTCTGCTGTAATAAATTTTTTTGGAACTTTAATGGCTGCTCTCTTTACTTGTTTGACTAAAGCTGAAAGTCTTTTTGCTAGAGAAAATAAATATTGTCTCAATCTTTACATCATGCATTTATTGAAACATGCATACATAAAGTATGAAGATTCTATATATATAAAGGTTTCAAAAGAAACATCCAAAATTTTTATATTTTTTTTGGGACAGAGCCCTTTCATATATCAAAAGAGATTACAAATAAGTAGAAAAAAATAGAAATTATAACCCTATATCTCAAAAAAAGGAGATAAAGGATTCTAAAAGAAGAAAAAATACAATTTCTAAATAAAACCAAGCTGGCTGAAGAGCCTTGAAGGACTCAGGTTGTTCTGGCTTTTCATAGTACATGATCGGGTCTAACCAGAACAAGACCCCTTGTTGCCATTTAGACCGTCCAAGGGGATGCTGAAATTCAGCAATCATCATTGTCCTTCAAAAAATAAGCATCCAGGCATCCCGTACGAGCAACAAAATTACAGGAACCTCAAAAACCATCAGAGTAATAACAACAGCTGCACGAACAGTAAACAGCAGCAACAAATCTCCCCAACCAAAAAGACCAGTTCTGCTTCCAGCCATGAGTTTTGAGGATAATAGCTTTCCTAATTTTGGTAATGACAGTGGCTTGGCATTCAATAATACCACAAAATATCTTCTCATTTCTAGCTCTCCAAAGGAAATAGATAGTGGTAGAAACCGTAAGGAGGTAGTATCTTTTGGTTTGAGCATTAAAACCTTGCTCAAAAACACTATCATAAAATTGGAATAAATTCGGGTTCATCAGTAGACTATTCAGCCAGGGGAGCAAAATTTTTGCAATAGAGAAAGTAAAACTGCAATAAAAAAATAGGTGAGTGAGAGTTTCCATATCCTCGTGACAAAAACAACAGGTGTTTTGAGTGGTAATTCCTCGGGCTGCAAGTACATCAGAGGTTTTCAAGCCACCCTTGAAAGCAAGCCAGGCATACACAGAGAATCGGAGGACAGCTTGCTTATGCCATACAAATTTGTATCAGTTAACCTTATCCAAGTTGTTGTAAAAATAATTACGATAATCAGCAAATTTAGGATTAGGTTTGTCAAGCCAAAAGTGATTCTCCACCTAGTTGTCAATACTAACAGCAAGAATAAGGTTTGAGATTTGAGATTCAAAAGTAGCTGGGAGCTTCCACTTGTCCCCTTGTATGATATTGGCTACTTTCCAGTCAAAATAATGAGTGTATCTAGCAATGGAGTTCATTTGTTTCAGGTAATCAGCTATGGAAGCTCCACCACACCACGGGTCCTAGATTACAGAAAGGCAACTAGACGGGCTAACTGTTAAAGAGATACAACTTTTAATACTTTCAACTTTACTACACATATATTTCCAGTATTGAGAGAAACCAACATACTTCACAGACAACAAATTCCATAGGGAATAGTAGTTTGCTCTCCACCAACTAAAAAGCAAGTTATCTGTGTTTAAAAATCTCCATATTATAGAGCAAGAAAAGTTGTGGTAAAGAGATTCAATAGAAGGAATCCCTAACCCCCCATTTTGTTTAGGATAACAAGTATGTTTCCAGGATACAGTATGTAGTTTACGAGAGGTGATTTTACCAAAAAAAGTGAATCTGGAACACATACAACTAATCTGTTTGCAGCAGCTTTTGGGTATTATAGAGCCATGGATCCAGTAAGCAAGAGTATTGCTTATAGTAAATTTGATGTACTGCACTCTACCAGCAAAAGACAAGGTCTATTCTTTCCAACCGTCTAAAAGAGAGGATACTTTTAGCATAAGAGGTTGAAAGTCTTTCACTTTTAGTTTTTTTGTAAAAAATAGGTAGCCCCAGGTATTTCATGGGAGTGAAAGACTGTTGAATGTTGAGGATACCACAAATGTCAAGTGCAAGAGGAGCTTCCTTGGAAATTAAAATAGTGCTTTTGATAGGGTTAACATGAAGCCCAGAAACATCTGCAAAAGTGCAGAGAATGGATTTGAGGTTGAGTGCATTGCTGGTAGAGGCTGACCCAAAGACTAGGAGATCATCAACAAACAAAAGGTGGGTAATATTATAGCTCCCAACCGAAATACCTCTAAAACTACTGTTGGAAGAAGCCAAATCAAAACAAGAGGATAACCCATCCATAATTATGCTAAAGAGGTATGGGGATAAAGGGCATCCTTGCCTAATACCAAAAGTGGAATTGAAATCCCTTCAAGCGTCCCATTGATATTGATGGAGAAGTGAACATCTGTAGTGCAAGCCTTGATCCAGGAAATAAACATGTCAGGGAAGCCTTTAGCCTGAAGTCTTTTATAGAGAAAATCTCTAGAAACCATGTCAAAGGCTTTGGTAATGTCATACTTGGCACAAAAGTATTTGTGCTTAGCCGAATGGTTAAAGTTGCCTAGAATATCAGAGGCAAGAAGAATATTGTCGGAAATAATCCTTTTGTGGATGAAGCCACCTTGGCTAGGATGAGTGATGAAAGGCATAACCTCCTTCATTCTATTAGCTATAATCTTAGCAATAATCTTGTAGATAACATTACAGAGAGATATGGGCCTAAAATCCTTGACATTACTGGCATGAGAATGCTTGGGTATAAGGGCAATAGCAGTGGCTTTGACTTGATTGGCCATGTAACCAATAGAAAAGAAGGAGGAGATTGCATTTCACAAGTGGGATTGGATGGTATTCCAAGTGGCTTTATAGAATTCAAAGGTGAATAGATCGGGTCCAGGAGCTGAGTTGGATTTACCAGAGAAAACAATGTTTTTAATTTCTTCAGTGGTGACCGAAGCAGAGAGGCTGGAAATGAGGTGGTTTGGAATCTGATTACCCACATGAATGTTCATGTAACGCTGATTCAAATTGGAAGGGACCAGGGTGTTGAAAAGCTCTCTATAATGATTGATGAAAACATTGGCAATGTCCTTGTGGGAAGAAAAAGTGCATTGGTCATTGGTGATTTCCTTGATACGATTGTGATTTTGTGAAATGTTGATTTTGGAGTATAGAAACTTAAGATCATCCTCCCCATGGGTGAGCCATTTCACCTTTGCTCTTTGAGTTATCCAACTGGTAAGGGTAGCTTGGTAATAAGCTAACTTAGTATTTATAACCTTCATGGTGCTGTTAAGAGATTGGTCCAAAGGGTTAGTTTGGAGTTGGGATGTCACAATGTGCTGTTGAGCTTTGAGAGTGTCAATTTCTCCCTGAATGGAGTTGGCATTAGACAAAGGTTTAGATTTCTAGATGTTTTTAAGAGTCTTAAGCTTGAAATTGAAAGAGCTTAAAGGACTGCTCTTGTTGGGGAGTGAAAAAACATCCAAAAGGCTACTCCAGAACTCCGGTTATTTAATGCAATAGTTTTTGAACATAAAACGACAGCCTCTTCTATTTTTAGCAAAATCCATCAAAATTAGGGGTGAGTGGTCCGAAACATCAGGATCATCAACTCTATAGAAAGAGTTGGGGAAGGTTTCAAGCCACTCATCATTAACCAGGACACGATCCAATTTTATGTGGATTGGATTGTCTTGCTGCTGGTTATGCTAAGTGAAGAAATGACCAACAGATGAAAGGTATTTAATACCAGAATTAAAGATCATGTTATTGAAATCACCAAGCTTAGGAATAGAAAGAGCTGACCCGCCAGCTTTTT